TTATGTATGTGTGTCTGTATTACACACCACAGGTTCTCTGATATCAACGTTGTAATGTTTACTTCTAAACACATTGTTTCACTACACAGTACGTTATTTCCCATTCTATAAAAATGCATTCTGTGGGATCATGTTATGTCCTCTGAAAAGCTCAATATACCAATGTAACTGCATCTTTTGCTCTTCCTTGACAGACATTGACCAAAATATTGCAAACCGATGTCAAATATTTAGTAATATTGTAGTGAACGAGAACACCAATGAGTGCAGTCAAATGTCCTTGAACACAAAATTACAGAATCTTTAAGTAAATTTTGAGAACCATACAATAAATTCTTCATTTGCAAAATGTTTCAGATATTACTATTCCCTCGTTTCTACACCAACCACTCTGTATTCTCTTTTATTTGGTCTTCCTAACCGTCAGGCATATCACTTTCGAATGGTGGTGCATACTACTTATGTCTGTCGACATCAGTAGCACACACCACAATATGACGTCTATCTCGGGGATTAGAGCAGATACACCACCATTAAGTGAGGTTACGCATTTCCTACCTCGTAGAGGCGTTATTAAACTGTCACAGAGTCATCCTAGGCAGCAACAATATGAGTGGTAAACAGATTAGCATTACATATTACGACGCAGATGTAGTGTATACGAATTCTCAGTATAACAAATTACCTAGATAACGTTGAACGGATCTTACTCTTTACCGTGCCCAAGTGCCCCCAAATGCCCTGGTACGGCCGAGAGTGGGGAGAGTCCGCTCTCCCTCTTGAAATGCTCTCACGTGGCCATGCGTATATAGCCTCTGCCAGGGAAGTCCTACTCACTGCCTTCTCGTGGCGGGGGTGTTGTTTACAAAAATGAGAGGACGAAAAGCGAATGTCTAGCGCTTTAACCGGACCCCAAACCAATGGTGCACATGGGCTCCAGTATCCTGCGGGAACAAATGGCGTATGAACCAATCGTTGGTCACCGGCTACCATGGGACTGCATCTCCTCACGATGCTCCACTGCCTTGTGGGTCAGATCTTCAGGTCAAAGGCTCGGGGTGTGGCCCCCCTAAGAAAACCACCTGCTTCGGTTTGGGCACCCGGGCAGTATCACAGCCCTCACACAAATCAATTGAGATTTGTGTGGCGCATATGTATTTGGTGCCTCCCTGTACCTATACTTATGTGTTAAAATAAAATAATAAAATAATAAGATAACGTTAACATTAAGAAACATGAATTTCACTGTATCCGAATAGTTTTACTATACACTATAAGCTTGTCGTATATGGCATCACATATATGTCATAATCATCCATGCGCGTTATTAATACCGGTCTACCTTCCTACATTGTTGGTAATATGAAAACCAGTAATTAGGGATTATTGAACATTGTTAATGCAAAACGAACACTCGATCACACATGATCGTGGAATAGGTTCACATAATTCAGCCTCCTAGATGGTCGTCTGAGTATATATATATAGCTAAGGTAAACATACATTTTCCTAGTAAAAACAATTATGTTGTACTAGAATCGGTAGCTGAATGGCATTCATAATAGGATAGGTCACAGGAAAACAAACTAAATACTTTATATTGGATGTCATTATTATTAGCTTTATTCAATCTTAGATTTTTGGCCTAACAGAATTCTTAGCACAAATTATTTCAACAAGTTTCTGTTTCTTATTTCTTGATCGATCCTGACGATGAATATTGAGTGTTCACCAGTTAGATGTTAATAGTTCACAAAACATCTGAATAATGTGCGTTCTTCTCGATGCATATTGCCAACAACTACGATGTGTTTGATTGGGATTTTGTAACTTGTACAGTGGAAATTCGTAAAATCTTCACAAACACACCTGAATAAGTTATGTGATTAATAGACATGATCTGTTAAAAAAAACCCGATGACTTTTAGAAATATCTTGATTTCAGAAACAGGTAGCAGATATTCAAGCAGAGCACCGTCATGAGTACATGTCATCCGCAGTTTTTAGAATTATGATTTTCTATAGTTGAAAGGCAGATCAAAAGCATACGATACACAAGCCTATATATCGTTTGGCGTTTTCTGGAATATACAGGTCTCCTAAAGGCACACATACTACCAAGTTTTGCTAGCCTACAAACACGCCACCACGTGAGGCACTTCAAGTATGGGATAACCACCTTTAGGTACACCGCTCAAGGTCGCCGAAACGAAGAAGGGGTAATTTCAATTTCAAGCTAGCTTTTGTCCTCTTTGTAAAAATATTTTGGTAAAAGAAGTCTTTAGAGCACGTGTTTTTGATATACAAAAATGAACTAAAAAACAGATTCTAAGTAAATTTTAAATTTAACTGCATTCTTAGGCAGAACTATATTATAAAAACTAATTAAGTTCAGAATAATAAAATAACATACTTCTCTATAATTTATTGTTCAGATGAAGTTCTAATGTATAAAAAGATAACCAATTAATTTTACACTCAAATCACATACATTTTGTTGCGTTATTCCAGTACACAATGTGCGTTAAGGGAATATCTCCATAATGAAAAGTCGAGTATTTAAATCGAAAAATTTAAAAACTATAATAACTGATTATTCGCACTCGCTACAAATCTCATCAGACAGTTTCACTAGCACTATATGTTCATTGCGTAACATATTAGACAAGAACATCTACTTGCATGAGTCGTTTTTCATCAAGCTATAAACAACCTGAAGCATATACTTACTACTACAGTGCTTTCGGTTAGCTTTCAGTTATTTATTTGAACACATAAATATTGGTACAAGAGGGCACCAAATATATATGCACCACACAGATCTCATTGGATATGTGTGAGGGCTGTGATACTGACCGGGTGCCCAAACCGAAGCAGGTGGTTCTCTTAGGGGGCCACAAGGCAGTGGAGCATCGTAAGGAGATGCAGTCCCATGGTAGCCGGTGACCAACGATTGGTTCATACGCCATTTGTTCCCTCAGGATACTGGAGCCCATGTGCACCATTGGTTTGAGATCCGGTTAAGGCGCCGGACATTCGCTTTTCGTCCTCTCATTTTCGTAGACAACACTCGTGTTGCGACAAGGCAGTGAGTAGGACTTCCCTGGCAGAGGCTGTAAACGCGTGGCCATGTGAGAGCATTTCGAGAGGGAGAGCGGACCCATCCCACTCTCGGCCATACCAGGGCATTTGTGGGCAATTCACTGTTATATAATATACCCTTGTGGGCCAGGGTAATTTTACATTGGTTTTCACGAGAACCCGACACCGTCCAGCTTTCACAATATTTAAAATCCTAGTAAGTGCATGGACCAAATCGCAACATAAAGGATCATCGTTGGACAATCAGTGGGATGGAATTCGTTACTATAAATTAACTTCTTTGATTATGAGAAAACACTGACAATGTTAATTTAATCAAAATAAATATTAGGATACTTTATGCACAATTAAAGTGAACAAAAATGACAGGCGAGGTTAATACCATGAGAAACAGAATAGATTCCGTTTATTTTTCACCGAATTATGGACGAGGAAGGTCGATTGAGACCTATCGAAGCTAGGACTAAAATATATGCCAAGACAATCATTACTTGCAAAATAATTTTATATGATAGATGTTTGGATTAAATGTCAAATTACGGATAGAAAATATAAAAAGTAAATTACGAACCTATATAGCTAAATAGCATTTATCTTTAAAAATAAAGAAATTCAAATTGGAATAATACCCAGAAACTTAAATACTCAGCACCAAGTTGTCACACATCCTGTATCACAAGAAATTAAGCGAGTTCATCGAAGGACTTGAGCATATTTTCAAACTTATGGAGATTTGAACTGATTTGCATAATTTTAAAAGGCACTACATAGTAAGAGAAATATGGAAATAGTTCTAAGTCAATCTATTGGGCAGAATAAAAGTATTGATAAGATTCAAGAATCAAGGACATTACATAATCGTCACGTCAGAGACGACTGTCAAGAACTGACACTGTCTAATGGAAACTAATACTAAATCAGGTAGACAAAACTGTTGGTGAATAAAGAATTGATAAAACGCTAAAGTAAATAGGCATGCTTGGTGTCTAATATCTAACTTCAATCGATTCATGATTTTGCGCAACCCTTCATCCATTGTCTGAGGTGGATAACTATTTCCATCCAACACAAATAGGACTCCGATGGTTACGGCTTCTTACTAGAACTGGACACTATCCCCGTTGCATGCCGCCTCAGTGGTCTTTATTTATTTTAACACATAGATATCGGTACAAGGAGGCACCGAATACATAGGCGCCACACAGATCTCATTGGATATGTGTGAGGGCTGTGATACTGACCGGGTGCCCAAACCGAAGCAGGTGGTTCTCTTAGGGGGCCACATCCCGAGCCTTCGACCTGAAGATCTGATCCACAAGGCAGTGGAGCATCGTAAGGAGATGCAGTCCCATGGTAGCCGGTGACCAACGATTGGTTCATACGCCATTTGTTCCCTCAGGATACTGGAGCCCATGTGCACCATTGGTTTGAGATCCGGTTAAGGCGCCGGACATTCGCTTTTCGTCCTCTCATTTTCGTAGACAACACTCGTGTTGCGACAAGGCAGTGAGTAGGACTTCCCTGGCAGAGGCTGTAAACGCGTGGCCATGTGAGAGCATTTCGAGAGGGAGAGCGGACCCATCCCACTCTCGGCCGTACCAGGGCATTTGGGTGCGCTCAGTGGTCTAGACGTTAGATATTCGCACGCGAAACCGAAAGCCTTAGGTTCGAGTCCAGCATGCAGGATCGTGGGTGCGCACTGCTCAGGAGTCCCATGCTAGGACGAAACGGCCGTCTAGTGCTTCCAGGTTTTTAATGTTTGTCTAGCTTAAATCAACTCAAAAATTCAACCATTAAAATTATTACAATGTTCAAAAATCCTCATTCTGATAAAGAATAATTCATGAGAAATCTATCATCTAGCCATCAGTAGTCAGAAGTAAAAACATTCAAATGATTTGTTTAAATACTATCAAATAACTTAGGCATCCAAGACAGAACTACATAGATATTATTGTGGAATAATCCGCAAGATTCATTCAGCTGAGGAAAACCAAAATGATGGTAACCCTGAACAAAGCAATTCTGCTCAAGTTTGATATATGCTCTATAATTTAGTATCATACTTTACAATGGTAACCAACAGATAGGCAAAAACGTTACCAGTATAATGGAATCTCACAAGAAAGAATAGGTAGTGTCAAAATGAAAAATACAAAATGGTATTACGTTCATAAGCTAGATGTCAAAGAAGAGAATCGTCAGTTCCAGTGCAACCAATTTCGAAGAGATCAGTGTTTTCACATACGAGTTTATCAAAATTCATTGGAACTACAATACATAAAAACCAAAACTATAACCTACGTAAGAATTAGCTCCTCATAACTATGTCAAAAATTTGATTATGATCAAGAATCACGAGACCACTTAAATTCCTGTCGTTACGCCTTTCCGGAACAAAAGTTATGACATGTGTATGTACATAAAAGTAGAATTACAAGAATGTTTGAGATTAAAATCTTCTTATAAGTAAATTAACAGTATAAATTTATGCCGACAAAAAGTTAAGAGGTCGTGCTGTTCCGTTTGGCAATGAATGCTTTTACCCATGTGATCAGTGAAATACACAAGGCATAATAAGCTTTAGAGGTGAAAGTGCTTTCTGTTGAGGAATGGGCTCTAATTCCATGCGTTGAAGCCCATAATTTTCTGTAACTGTGAGTCTACTGATGCCTAGTAAAGATAAAGAAAACTTACTCGTAGCAAAAGAAAACATACCATTTGAGAAAGAGCATCGCTTAATTGTTTTTCGGCTTTTGTCGTATCCTAAAATGAAATATATTGTACAAAATTTCAAACCCTACGATATCAATCCCCATGTACTGGTCCACACGATTAGATAATATTGTCTTTCGTTCTTTGATTTCCTCAATTTCCTAGTAAGAAGGATTGGTAAATTGAATAGACAAACAGAACACACTTTCTTCCATGACATCAGAAGACGCTGATCAGGTGCTTTTTCAACGGATGACAATAAGTCCTATCAGTAACAAAAATGTCTTATTAGTAAAGTAACTCACACTTAATTGACGATCTGATTCACTTAGGGATTTCGATAAATTTAAATACTTTTCTTTAATATGTTGCATGGAACGCATATCTGATAGCACGCTTTCTTGAGAGAGACGCCAATCACTAGAAAACCTATGAAGAACAAAATACATTTAGTTTGAAATTGCAATTTATTTTTTTCGAAACACAAATACAAGAAGCAAATTATGTGAGTAACCAAAGACTATGGTGAGGATTCGTACAACGCAAGCTGGAGAGAAAGGATTAGACTTGGGCGAGTTGTTGTACTCTCGTCATGAAGAAAATCCTTTGCACACAAAGGATTTGCACTTATGCTCTCCAGAGAAGCATGGAAACCACTTAAAAGACGGGAATCTCATGAGTCCAGAATAATCAAAGCAACCTTCAAAAGAAAGAATGTTATCCAGTATTATGCACCCACCAATTATAACAACGATGACGATAAAGACTAGTGCTATGGGAGGGAAAGAAGCAACTTCCAGTTGAAGAAGGAATTAGGAAAAGACGCTCAAGGTGAGTAGGATATACATTGCGGAAATCCTCAAACTGCATCACGAGGCAAGCACTGACTCGGAATCCTAAAGGTAACAGGCAAAAATGGAAGGAACGAATTGAGCAAAGAAATTTCTTTTCAATTAGTTTTTCATCATGGCTCTACACTAATATATATATATATATATATATATATATATATATATATATATATATAATACTCATCGAGTGGATTCGTTACATAATAATTACATAACGACATTTAAATTAACATTGAGTAATTGGAAGAAAGAGGATTATTAATATTCAAAGTAATTATTAAAAATCGAGAAGTTGCTACGTTGCAAATTATATGAAAAAGAGAAGGAACAGAATTTTTAGTGGATGGTCAATAGAATAGTAGTTACGTAAGAATCAAGAGATGAATGTTAAGAAATATAAAGTTCGAAAACAGCAAAAACAAAATTTAGGAGAAAACAAATGGAAGAAGTATGAAAAATAGATCTGTTGAAGGAAATCTTATACCGATGGCCAAGTCAGCGTGGTTGTACAGATTTATTTTGAATGCAAAGCTTAGGTTTGTGAACATAGATTGCGATGGCTTCGTCAATGTGCAAAAGGCGCACTCGTAAACCATGTGGCAAATTTGATGGGATATGGTAGACAACCTCAAAAGCTTTATTCAATTCAACTTGATGACCTGTGTCAACCACGAGAGCGAGAATAGAACTTTTAATCACTTTTACCTATCCTTTGCTTAACCACGACGAATGATGCTCTGTAATATGATGACGAACTTGCCGAATTGTACGCTCTATATAACTGGCTCCACAGGAGCAGTTGAACCGATAGATACACATGGATTCGGCGAATTCAGGCAGTCTGTCTCTATTAGCCGTTCTTATTTTTAGGTGGTTGTAGAAGATAGCATTTAGTCTGGCTGTATTAAATGTTTTCTGTACGGATCTTCTTAGTTTCTGAGTCACGATTTCTTCAGTAGTGTCATTTATGAATTGTAATTTTATGAACAGTACTTTCTTACGGACGGTAGGTAACTTAGCCCTTGTTTTCTTACGCAACTACTATTCTATCGACCATCCACTAAAAATTCTGTTCCTTCTCTTTTTCATATAATTTGCAACGTAGCAACTTCTCGATTCAATAATTACTTTGAATATTAATAATCCTCTTCCTTCCAATTACTCAATGTTAATTTGAATGTCGTTATGTAATTATTATGTAACGAATCCACTCGATGAGTATTATATATATATATATATATATATATATATATATATATATATATATATATATATTATATATATATAAGTGTAGAGCCATGATGAAAAACTAATTGAAAAAAAATTTCTTTGCTCAATTTGTTCCATCTTTATTTACCAAATGTCAAAAAAGACCAAAGAACATATTGCGTCGGGAATTGGAGACAGGCATAAAAAAGAATGGCGATTGGAAACAGCTGGAAGGGAGAGAACAAGACAGAATTGGTTGGAGAATACTGGTCGGAAGCCTATACTCCTCCACGGGAGGGGATACAGGCGTAATTTATACGTTATGATTGACTGAATTCTTGCTACTCAAGCGTAATAAGATACCGAGTTCACCAAAGCGTTCAGCTTTTTTTTTAAAATTTATCTACTATCCCACCCACCGAGACTTTTATTGGTGTAAACAAGACTGATTCTATTCTTTAGGTGAGCTTTATTACTTAATTTCTCCCTTAAACGTGAAGTTTATGAAGTCTATATAATGATCGGTTAGCTAGACTCGCAGTTGCAGTTTAGAAGATACTAACAAAAATTTGAGATCCATTCCCTAAATATAACCTAGATTAGTGAGTTTGTGAAAGAAATTGCAATTTAGGACAAGCCAGAGTAAAAAACCAGTTTATGTCAGTCCAAACAGGAAACCTAGTAAATACATACTTAACAAGTAGTTTTATTGGGGGAATCCAATCGATAGATTATAAGTGAGATCTGAGAACTACTAGTAACAATATTTATCGACCATGAGGCATTTAAATAAACTTAGGACGTTTTTTGTTTAGTTGAATTACAATGATTCTTATATTTTATAAGCGCTTGGATAATCGACAAACTAAATCAAGCTAAAGAAACCCTGCTTGCTTTACAGATTTCAATAAAAACAATAATCACGTAAAACAGTATTTTTCGTGACGCGTAATAATTAGCCAGAACGAAGCAGCTGATATCCACTGAGGTTTATTGATGCTCAAGGAGAAAGAATGTAGTTGTAAAACCTCAGTGAATGAGTTTGAAGTAAATCCAACGTTCTGCCTGGCACTCTGCTCCGAGCTATTCCAAAGAAATATAATCAAACAACAAATTATCGAATATGAATAATCACATAACTCCACCAGGAGTCCCTCCGGGGGCTACTGCCGGTCCCAAGCCGGATAAAAGAGAGGGGTGGGCATGGGGTTAGCGACCTCATCCCGTAGAAAAATAACTCGCTAAAAAAACGCTAACCAGAAAAATTATTCAAACTGTTTAAACTCTGCCCTGGAAGTTAGGTCTTCATTTAGAATAGTTAAGACGCCTCATGATGAAAGCCCAGTTCCTTCGGAAGCCACGAGGCAGATGACCCTTCTGACAACCAGAGAAACCACTTATTTAAGTACATGGAATGCTTGTGCAATGTGGGAGACTGGTAGTCTTCCAAATCGCTGCAGAAATGAGGAGATACAACCTAGATGTTCTTGGGATCAGTGATACACAATGGACGCAAGTTGGACAACAACGACTAGCTTCAGGGAAGCCTCTGTTAAACTCCTGGCAGCGACATCCTATGCCCCTAAATGCCCTGGTATGGCCGAGAGTGGGATGGGTCCGCTCTCCCTCTCGAAATGCTCTCACATGGCCACGCGTTTACAGCCTCTGCCAGGGAAGTCCTACTCACTGCCTTGTCGCAACACGAGTGTTGTCTACGAAAATGAGAGGACGAAAAGCGAATGTCCGGCGCCTTAACCGGATCTCAAACCAATGGTGCACATGGGCTCCAGTATCCTGAGGGAACAAATGGCGTATGAACCAATCGTTGGTCACCGGCTACCATGGGACTGCATCTCCTTACGATGCTCCACTGCCTTGTGGATCAGATCTTCAGGTCGAAGGCTCGGGATGTGGCCCCCTAAGAGAACCACCTGCTTCGGTTTGGGCACCCGGTCAGTATCACAGCCCTCACACATATCCAATGAGATCTGTGTGGCGCCTATGTATTCGGTGCCTCCTTGTACCGATACCTATGAGTTAAAATATATAAATAAATCAGAGAAGCCTCTGTTATACTCCGACCATGAAGAAGAAAATGCCCCACAAACACAAGGAGTTGATCGATGCTGTCCAAACAAGCACAAAATGCACTTATAGGATGGGAATCTCATGGACCAAGGATCATCAAAGCCACCTTCAAAACAAAGAAAGAGGGCATTTCAATGGACGTCATCTAATGCTATGCGCCTACCAACGACTACAATGAAGACGCTAAGAATCAATTCTATGATAGGCTGCAGTCAATCGTCGAGAAGTGCCCAACAAAGGACCTGACCATTCTGATGGGAGACCCAAATGCCAAGGATGGAAGGACAACACCGGATATGAAGACATCATGGGACGGCATGAACTGGGAGAAAGGAAGAAAAGTGGTGAGAGATTTGCAGACTTATGTGCCTTCAATAAACTGGTCATAGGCGGCACTATATTCCCACATAAACGCATCCATAAAACCACATGGACTTCACCGGATCACACTACGCAGACCAAATCGACCATATCTGCATCAACAAAAAGTTCAGGAGGACGTTGGAGAACGTGAGAACCAAGAGAGGAGCTGATATAGCATCAGATCATCACTTGCTGGTTGCCGAAATGGAATTGAAACTCAACAAGCACTGGACAACGGGGCGGACAATATCACAAAAATTTAATACGGCTGTTCTTTGGGATGATGACAAACTCAATAAATTCAAGATAACCCTCAGCAATAAGTTCCAGGCCTTTCATGATCTACTCAATGAAGAAGGGACTACTATGGAGAGCGACTGGAAAGAGATAAAAGAGGCAATCACTTCAACATGTCATGAGGTTCTGGGCCAAAAGAAGCACCATCACAAGGATTGGATCACGGTCGATACACTAGATAAGATTCAAGAAAGGAGGAACAAGAAAGCAGCAATCAATAACAGTCGAACAAGAGCAGAAAAAGCCAAGGCACAAGCTGAATACACAGAAGTAAACAAGCAAGTAAAGAAGAGCATCAGAACTGACAAACGTAAATATGTGGAGGATTTAGCAATGACGGCGGAAAAGGCAGCAAGAGAAGGAAACATGAGACAACTGTATGACACAACAAAGAAACTCTATGGAAATCACCGTAAACCAGATCGATTAGTGAAAAGCTGGGAAGGCAAGGTAATCACCAACATTGAAGAACAACGAAACAGGTGGGTAGAACACTTCAAAGAACTCATGAATCGACCAGCCCCACTGAACTCACCCAACATTGGAGCAGCACCCACAGACCTCCCAATCGATGTTGGCCCACCAACAATTGAAGAAATCAGCATGGCCATCATACAAATCAAGAGTGGCAAAGCAGCAGGACCGGACAACATTCCAGCAGAGGCACTGAAAAGAGACGTAGGGGTAACTGAAATGACACTCCACATTTTCTTCAGAAAGATTTGGGTAGAGGAACAAGTACCAAAAGACTGGAAAGAAGGACTTCTGGTCAAAATACCAAAGAAAGGCGATCTCAGCAACTGTAATAACTAGAGGGGCATCACTCTTCTCTCAACACCAGGAAAAGTCTTCAACATGGTATTGTTAAACAGGATGAAGGACTGCGTAGAAGCCCAACTTCACGACCAACAGGCAGGATTCCGTAAAGATAGATCGTGCATAGACCAAATCGCAACTCTATGGATCATTTTGGAACAATCAATTGAATGGAATTAATCACTTTACATCAACTCCATTGACCACAAAAAAGCATGTGACAGCGTGGGCAGAAAAACACTATGGAAGCTTCTTCGACACTACGGCGTGCCTGAGAAGATAGTCAATATCATACGGAATTCCTACGATGGATTAAACTGCAAAATCGTTCATGGAGGACAGTTGACAAAGTAGTTCGAAGTAAAGACCGGTGTCAGGCAAGGTTGCTTACTCTCACCCTTTCTCTTTCTCCTGGTGACCGACTGCATCATGAAGACGTAAACATCTGAAGGGAAGCACGGGATACAGTGGACGATCTAGACTTCGCAGATGATCTGGCTCTTCTATCGCACACGCAACAACAAATGCAGGAGAGGACGACCAATGTAGCAGCAGCCTCAGCGGCAGTAGGTCTCAATATATACAAAGGGAAAAGTAAGATTCTCCGATACAACACAGCATACATCTATCGGATCGGAGAAGCATTGGAAGATGTAGAAACCTTTATATATCTGGGCAGCACCATTGATGAACATGGTGGATCTGATACAGATGTGAAGGCGCGAATCGGAAAAGCAAGAGCAGCATATCTACAACTGAAGAACATCTGGAACTCAAAACAATTGTCAACCAAAACCAAAGTCAGAATTTTCTATACAAATGTCAAAACAGTTCTACTGTATGGGGCGGAAACCTGGAGAACTATGAAAGCAATCATCCAGAAGATACAAGTGTTTGTTAACAGCTGTCTACGCAAAATAATTCAAATCCGTTGGCCGGACACTATAAGCAACAACCTACTGTGGGAGAGAACAAATCAGATCCCAGTGGAAGAAATCAGGAAGAAGCGCTGGGAGTGGATAGGACATACATTGAGGAAAGCACCCAATTGCGTCACAAGACAAGCCCTCACATGGAATCCTCAAGGCCAAAGGAAAAGAGGAAGACCAAAGAACACATTACGCCGGGAAATGGAGATAGACATGAGAAAAATGAACAAGAATTGGATGGAACTAGAAAAGAAGGCCAAGGACAGAGTGGGTTAGAGAATGCTGGTCGGCGGCCTATGCTCCATTGGGAGTAGCAGACGTAAGTAAGTATAAATAGGCACATGGTTTTCTGGTTGACTGTAACTTAAACAGGTCATCCAATCCCATCCATAGTAACGTTAGATTTACTTCAAATTCTTTGCGAAATTTTACAAAAACATTCTTCCTCCCTAATGTTTAACATGAACTCGGCGTCCAAATACTGTGAAACTATTCGGCCGAATTTAGACGAAGAAACTGACTTGACATGTAAATTGAATTCAGAGTTTAGTATCAGTTATTAGCTACCATGGCTTCAAAAATCATATGAAAAGGGTTTAATGTAGCTCCGAACAAAACAGATAATCAGGATGCCCAATGACAAATGACGCTAGAAGACTTGGAAATAAGGATAATTGAAATTTACTAACCTATTTAACACGAGGATATAATAAAACTTAGTTGTACTAAACGGGTTATTTCACGCAAAATAAACTACCTTATTAAATTCCTTTCCATCTCATCGACCTCCATAATAATTGTCCTTAATGAATTGTATGAATTCTCTAAAGAGGTAATCAATGTTTTTAGATTATCTCGGTATTCTTTGTATGCAAGAACACGATTTTTGATCCTGGATAATATATACAGAACAAACAGATACCTGTGGATAGAACAACTACGGCAATCGATCTCTGAAAGTCTCAGTGCTAATTGGTTTATTTTGTGACGGATATCATTATTAGGTTTAGAACCCAGTCTGGCGTGGAATCTATCCAACAGAGTTGAGAGGCGAGTTTCTGGAATAGCAGCATAGATATTTCAAGAACTACAAACCATCAGTAGAAAATCCATTTCTAACTTTCTTTTCCATTAAGTCAATATCCTCGTGAGAGTTTCTGTGGATTACTTTGAATTCATCATCAGAAGCATCCAGAACATTTTTAAATTTACTGAATACTTCTCCATGGATGTATTTTGAATCCTGAAAGGTGTATAAAGTAGTGAGTATGTACCTTATGATCCGACTCACGCCGCATTTCCAAAGAACGAATTCAAACCTTTTAAAACAGATGCTGATAGTTCGTAGTCGAAACGGATTCAAAGAAATCTGACGAGAACTCAGTTCGATGAACAAGCTGGAAAAGAAAATGGGAAATAGGAAGCAGACCGATTGAAAAACAATGTAAGCAGATAAACATGATAACTCTAAAACAGACCGTAAACATATTTCGAAAATCCTTGATAGGACTTAAGTAATCGGAAGCAAATACTCCTACTAGGCATTATAATTCAGGCGGAAACCGAACGTCAAACTTGACAGTGCGATAAGTATTCTCACAGAAAGCAACGGGTTTTACAGAAAACTTGATTAATACACATTGACAGTGCGTTATCGAGTATTCTTATCGACGGTGGAGAATTTGTTATACTCAGATTTCTATCAAAATCAAAACGACTCACGTAATTGAGCAAGTGATTGGGGAACTTTTGTTACTATTAACTAAAAAATGGAGAAAATTTGCTTTAAAATAGTTGAAATCAATAAACATATCTATGATGCAAGCAGAAAGCAAATTTCGATATAGACCTTTCGCTGAATTTCAGAACATATGTGCTCCTAACGCAGATTATTTATTTAAGTATTTGATTTGATTCAATGAGTTATCAGGTGTTCATTGAAGATAGATAACATTCTCCCCTTCTAAACCATACTTTACACCAACCAAAGTTTGATAAAGTTGTAAAAAGGATGAAGGAAAACCACTGCACTAGAGATGACGTCAGTTCGTGATGAAAACCTTGACTTTTGTAATAAAATTTTAAGACACCAGCATCTCTAAACACCCGGATCTATGATTCGTGCATTAGGACTGGTATCATTTTGTGACAAAAACCTCACTCACAATACTAACCCGACTCCCAATAGGTAAACACGATCTTAATCATTTAATACGTATTGTCGTGCAACAAATAATTAGACATATAGACTAATGATTTAAAAAACGCTCACTATTCCGTCGCAGTTTTATTGCTTTATATTATTAATTGTTTTATAACCATGCTGACAAGTTACCTGTTGTTTTCTGTGTAGTCCCAAGCTCCCAATTTTGGGGAAATGGCACAAAAACCCCAAAATTTCCATAAATTTGGAAGCTTGGGTATGCTTTTACCGAATTTTCGGTGAGATCATAACTTATGGACAACTTTAAGGCGACGCCATAGTGACCCTGAGAATGTCCACTCCCTTACTAGGAATAAATGGCGGTCACAAGGCAGTGTGTGGAATTAGAATTCCGATTTACAGTTGGCGGATAGGGTTAGGAACTAGATTTGGTTTCCATCACGAACTGAAATAAGCCAAAATGCCGGAACGCTATTACCCCAAATGGACAAATGAATTTCAAACTCAAACCCAAGGTCTGTTATCTTATATCTCATTGGTTTGTCCACACATTATAGTCTCACCGAACTTTCTATCTGATGAGGAACTATAAGTAACCTACAGTAAATTGAGGATTATTCTTGAAAAAATATAACAAGTTAAGTATGTTAAAAATTTACAACTGTTTTAGGCAAAGATCGACAAACTTATGTGACAAGTCCCTCACTTCAACTACTTTGAGACACAATTCATGATGGGCGGGTAAGTGCACAAGGACTAAACAGCGCATAAGACAAACAATAATACGCATGCCTAGTCAGAGGCATAAAAAACTGTGATAGAGAGAATGAAAGAAAGCTATTTCAAATTAAATTTACTGTTTATAATTATTGGGTAGTGAATACTTCTGGACAGAGGTTAAAATAAATGAAAAAATAGGAAACTCATAAGTATATATATATATATATATATATATATATATATATATATATATATATTAGTGGACAACGGGTAAGACCGCTCAAACTGTCCAGTGAGATGTCCATTTCCAATATCTAGAGGACCATTAAAAACTTGTGGGATCGATTAAATCCCATTATACCCTAGCTAAAATTTCCACCAGACTGATAAGTTTTCGTCAAATAGCATATCGATTCTCGCCAAGTTCAAGGACAACCAAGATCAACAGTATAGACCATCTGCGTTGATGATCTACAAGACAAATGTTTCTCCATATTCCAACCTACTTGGATGGATCTTCGGTTAGCGTGAGTTTTCCTTATGGTATTTTACGGAATAAAACCTCATACGGTACACGAAGGATCAAACTAATAAGTGTATTAATCATTTGATCTCAAGCATTTTAAGGTTATCGCTGTCATTCTATGTCTGAAATAAGCCTTACATTGGGGAAAATCAGGGCCGTGAGAGCTAATATTATGTGAGTCTATCCATTAATCATTCACTTACATTCTATGAAGCTTGTGATACTGACAATATATTTTTTGACCAACTGAATTTAACTGCATGGACATGGATAAGCGGTGGAATTCATTTGCAGTCACTTTCATCTCAGCTGATTGACAGCAAAAAAGAAAGACTTGAGAATTTTGGTTTAACTAAACTGTACCACATCGAATGAGCGTGCACATTAACCTGACTCGTACATGTGTTGCATTATATCGTCATTATGCCGTTTGAATTCAACAATTATTTGTAATGAATTTACAATTTCCGACTAAACCCATCGTAGTCTTTATTGAAATGCGTATTTCGGTTTATGAATTGAACTAATATATTGGGCCTATAAAGCCATCTAAAATAGTTGAGATAATCATGATGTAGAATTATGGTCAAGTTTGGCTTTAGCACTGCTATAATAATAGACATAATCTTAAAATTGTAGATTTGTCATGATGTGAATATCTATCATCACCCACACTAACTCATCGCGTCGTAAGAATCGGAAATATAACGTCTAGCATTTCTGAAGAAAAAATTTAGGCTGAAGAGAGAATAATATAATTGATGTGAACAAAGACAAGTTATACAGCATAACCACGTCTGAGAGGCTGGGCCATATCATCCGGTAATTGAATTGAATGTCTCCCGTACATCTGCTGAACTTCTCTTCATGTTAATTGTTGAATATAAATCTTTTCAGCGATGATATGCTCAACCTGAAGAGTCGTGTGGTTAGAAACCGACGCCACTATAAAGTCAGTAAAACATGATGTTATCTTACTGCACTGGTATTACAACTTAAATGACACAGTTGTTAGTTAAGCAACCGTCTTTTGAGCCTACTACTGAAATAAACACTGAGTGGGAGAGTAATTCCGGATAGTAATTTCTAATATAATCAGACAGCTCGGACAAATTAAGGCTGTAAACTTCTGGTACTTCCAAACCGCATTAAACAACGATACCCCCTTCCGATTAGCTAGTTCCCAATCAACACGGTAGCTAGCTATTCATAACGGTTTCTGGAAGTCATAACAAAACATCGTGACGTGACAATTGCGTATTATGATTGATAAAATTGGTGAAGCTATTAGCCTAAATTCTGTCAATAATCCAACCTATAATTATCATTAAATAGCGTTGTTTTCTCGTGGTTATCTTCATCTGATATCGATTATTTTAGTAAATTTTGCTATCACTTGCTCACTTAACAAACATCTTAAAAGCTTGTCAGTTTAATTTGAGGTTTAGCGACAATATCATACATGCGAATCATCGGCATAAGCAGCTAAGCAAAGCTCCTGCAACCTGAAAACATTGCTGTTGAACTTGCTCCGACACTGACATATGTGCGTGCTATTGCCATAGACATGAATTGGGAGTTGTATTGTCCTTGGTTACAACTCATGTTCTCTCTGATAATCATATGAGCAGCACTCACTATTTACCATTTTGCAATGACTGATTTAGCCGATAGCATCACACAAAATCACGTCGCCTGTAATCGCAGTGAATGAATTTAGTTGATATCAACATCATATAATCACTTTATTTCAAATAAGCCGTTTCTTATCTTATGACAAACACGATACATGTAACGAAACTGTATGCACCGTCGATTGGTAAGCAGGAATATAAATAATCATTTTACTACATATCAAACATTAGGTCTAGAGCATGTCTGTCAATGACTCACTCATGTTCGAATAATTTCTGTTAGAAATATTCCTGAAAGTCACATGGTTATCACTACTTCTGCGTACTAAAAACATTTTGATGATTCATGTGTATTAGTAATTTTAGTAAATCCCGTCATAGTTAAACAATAATGAGGTCGAGAAATCTCTTCATAACCAAATAAACGTTATTGAACATAACAAACAAACTGGAATATTGGTTGGAATTATTACTTTCGCGGTTACACATTTTTCCCTTCAGTTAGCCTACTAATGGACTTGCAACTGGATATGAACTCATATGAACAGCACACTGGCATAAACGTTAACGGGCTCTATAATTTAGACGGAATATCACAGTATCAACATTTTTATAATTTTGATTATTTTTTTATTTTTTGGAATAAAATACTTATACCGCCCATAGGTTAAATTCTTAACCGACGGTGACTGCTACACATCCTGAAGTGACTTCTTAAAATAACCCCGTACTAGAAAATTCTTCATAATGATAATCTCGCTTTGTTTGAGGCTGAAATAATATGTGTTCATTTGCTGGATGGATGGCTCAGCATGATAAGATAAAATATTGAAATTGAAATGAAATGCAATCAGGAGGATCATAGAAACAGAAATACACCAGTTGGGGGTAGAAGACTTAAGGGGAAGGTGGAAGGTGAAGCAGATGGCTGTAAAGGAATAAGAGAAAAATTTTAACACATTAAGACCATGGTAGAAGGAGAGGTTGAACCAGTCCCTTTTGCACACATAATTCTGGTTTTTCCAGGTGTATGGTTATTGCTTCGGCAATGCAAAGAACATGCAGTCTAATTGCCTTGGGAAGACTTCTACTTACCATGTAGATGACTTTGAACACAGAGAGTATCTTGATTGAGTGACCTGTGTTCACAGGGTGTTCGATTATAGAACTTCTTATTGAGCCGTTGCCTCCTCATTTTAGCCACGCCGGACAATGTCCTTGAATTCTTTTGGATAATGTACGCTTCGGACGACCTATATACCTAGCCCCACAAGAGCAGGTAAATTCGTAAATGCACATTGAGTTGGTCAGATGCGATAAATAATCTTTCAGGTTATTGGTGAATACTGATCGGTGTAGAATAATATTCACAATGTTGGTGCGAAGAATGTTCTTTTTAAAGAATCCGAAATTATCCTCTTCAATGTATATGTGGCTCTATCACCTTTGAAGTCGATGTTCATGTATATGATTTTCTTTTCTACTGTTGTAGCGGTAAATAATTCCCCGAAATCAAATAGCTCTGTAAGTTTTCGACATTGAATGCTGACCACAGTTTTAGTGGACTCATCTAGCTGAAGGTGCTCGGTCAAGCATCCGCACCAGATCACGTGTGGGAACGCCGTGCTCAACATCTGCCGCAATCACTAGCCGGATTAGTGCGAACGATCCTCGATATATTGATAGCTTATCAAATATATCTTCGATCTCCTCACTTCTGTCTTTTGATTTTACTTGGTGGGTGCGCTTCGTATTAGAAGGTGTTACTGGTTAAAGCGTTGTCAAACTCCGAATACCTGTGGCATCTTCATTGGTGAGGCCGACGTGATCTGGTACACCAAATTGCAAACTGTGAGTCTGTTCCTTTTTGTGATTTTATGTATCATTGTCTTATTTTAATCTGTTTTTAACATAGTGATATTTCTTCCCCCTTGTTTTTGGGTTTATATATATATTTCCCACTCATTCATTTTTCGTACTTGATATATTACTATGACTGAACAGACCCCTAAAGTATTTAAGTTAAAGACTGTGTCCTCACCCTCTTTCCAACTTATGCCTTTCTGGCCAGACAACATCGAAGCCTGGTTTTGTTACGCAGAAGCCGACTTCTTCGAGCACGGTGTGAACGATACACGTACACAATTCCTCGCAGTAGTCAAGGCACTACCGCGCGAATTTAACAGGTACGTAACACCTAGTATGTTTACTAGTGATGTTTCTGATCCATACCAAACCCTGAAACATGCCATCCTTAAACGCGGAGATCTAACCGATCGAAAAAGGTGAGACCAACTCCTCAACAACATCGACCTGCAACACGGTTCTGCCACAGACATGTTGCAAAGAATGCGAGAAGTCATTGGCCAAAGAACCTTCGATGACGGCCTATTCAAACAACTTTTCTTATCCAAACTTCCTCAACAGGTGCAAGCTGTTTTGGTCTCGTTCCAAAACAACGCCGTAGACGAGCTAGATGCGTTTTTGGCATTCTCGGCCCCATGTTCTTATCAATGAATATCGAAGGATACTCGCTTTTGATAAGTATCTCTTTTAAAAGGCTCAATTCTTGATCTACGACTTCGGGGCTACAGATTCTTCGTATTCTGTAGCGAGTGTTATTATTAAGTTTCTTTTCCGGCTGATGGGAATCCAGCTGTTGAAACTTGATAGTTGGCCATTCCACAGAGGTTTCCTATAGATAGATATTTTTAAAGTACAGTTTTACTTTCTTGTCATTTCCACATCAAGAAAGTGAATATTTTGTTTGTTTTCAACTTCAAGTGTGAATTTTATTGATGGGTGATAATTATTAAATATATTTTGGAGGTGGCTTAAGTCACATTTGTTATCACAAATGATAAAGATGTCAT